TAAAATATGATATACAAACGTTTCGGACCCCAAATACTGTACCCAGTTGAATCTAATATAAATGTTGATAAATCGTGCTTCTTAAACGCCTTTGACTGTGCAAATCTCTTGTTATCTTAAGTTTGAGCCTTTTAAATTATGAATCTTGTTTATATTAAGCTCTCGGTTATATTATTTCGTTAAATGAGCTATTCCGATTTTTCTCTTCTGATCACTTGTTGTGTGGTCATGATATGAGGTTGTCTATATAATCAGAGTGATTTATTTATAGCTATTCGTTCTCTATTTGTATTTCTTTTCCCAAATCTTAAGACAATGAACGCTAAGATAGTTAAGCAGCATGTTGCTATTGAATTACATAAGAAATAATATACTATTGAATGTTATTAACAATAATGATTATTTCATATGAGAAGACAAACGCTCACATAGCGTATTGTGTCATTGAGTAAGTTGAGCTTTGATGTTTTATGATGATCACGTGTCGTGTAACTGTGTAAGTGAAGCTTCGTCACATCACATAGACTTGGATCCGGGTCTGATCTCTTTTAACAACAATGGCGCTTTACGGTGAAGTGAATAAGAAATAATATTTTATTGTTGAAGATAACGTGGTTACCAAACTAAACAAGACCTTTACAGGGACAGGTGCCGCCCTCTATTGTTAAATTTGTAGCGCGATACGCGATATTTAAATTTAGTTTTCAAACTTGGGTGTTCAAGAGAAGTACAATCGGAATTTTCGAATGACCTACTCTGTTATTTAGTAAATATCACGTGACCCAAAACGGTTTTCAAAATAAAAGTGTGCTCTATTCTTTTGTAGAACCGCGAAAAGTTACAGCACGGAAAAAAGAAAAACCAACTATTATAATAATAAACTATTGATCCTCTTTGGGTTTATCATTTTATATCAGTTTTCCTGAAATCCAACTGATTTCAGTTTATAGTTCACGGTCAAGAAGATCGATGCGCGCAACCATCTTCTCGATCTCGAATCATGGGAACGTACTTCCAACTGTGACGTCACTAGCTACAGTAATGAGGAAGGAAGTTTCTGGTTAAATGAAAGTTTTATTCACTGAGACTTCACTTGGAATGTTTTAAGAGATTGGGTTTAGAAGCGAGCTCGCTTATCCGGGTCGTTTGTATAAGTGTGTCGAAAATTAGTTGAGACCGGATTTCCTCTTTTGTAGTCTAAACTGTTCTTACGGTCATTCCAGTTCGTCTCTTCACAGCGTGGAGACTACAGATTAGAAGTGCATTGTGAAAAATTGTTGCCATGGGAAAACTGAAACGTATAGTGAACTCGAGACTAAATTTTGTCGATTGTCCGTGATCTGAATGCTAACATGTACGTGTTGTAAAACCTAGCATTCTTTGAATATGTCATAAATGACATTAACTGATTATTACTTGTCATATATAGATGTCATAAGTAAAACTCGTTTCTTAACATGTATATTTATGTGTCTTATATTATAACACCCATTGCTTAAGAGGCTGTCACATATACATGTGTGTGTGTGTGTGTGTATGTGTATTACATAATGACGCACTGATTAAAAGTTTAACCTCAAGGAAGAGAGATCGCACTTAATGAGAACTACTTGCCTGTACTAATGCAGTGGCGTGGCGTTACCGGCGACATGTTTAGCACCTATATACTTGGTTGACTGATCTGCGCTAGCCATCCCTAATTTAGCAGTGTAAGACTAGAGGGAAGGCAGCTAATCATCACCACCCACCGCCACTTCTTGGGCTAATCTTTTACCAACGAATAGTGGGATTGACCGTTACATTATAATGCCCCCACGGCTGAAAGGGCGAGCATGTTTGGTGTAACGGGGATTCGAACCCGCGACCCGCAGAGTCGAGCGCCCTAACCCCTTGGCCATGCCGGGCCATATAACTATGGCATACCAAAAAAGAGTACTTGTAATATAGTTAAAAGCACTATCACTGGAAGATCAGCATATTCATACAAGTATTTAAAATCACGTAAACAAACCCCACCACATATTGGACTTTCGCTACTATTTCCAAACTACGCAAGCTGGTCGTCTAGTTTCCCCCCACTCGTCGGCCAAGTTATTTTTATCAAATGCACATAACTTAATCAACAGGGGCACAAGATAATTTGCAAATAACCTTGTCTATGTAAAGAAGCATAGCCTACGAATGGACAAGCTGCTCCCCAGACACACTAGTAAAAGAAAAACAGCCAGCAGGGAAAATACCTTATCCACGAAGACGTTATACCATTGGACGATACCTAAGTATACTTGAACCGCGGCCACAAGAAACCAGCATTGTCGACCACAAAGTGATAAGAACTTACCAAGAACAACGAGTTTTTCGTTAACTTGCCGCAGGTTTCACATTTAACATAAAATTTAAACTTCAAAAGTTCGTGGTAAATCGCAGATGAATTCTACTTCCACCAGGATAAGCTGTTTTTATCCATTATTCAAGATAACTTTCCTGCACTATACAGTTAGGAGGCCTATAGCAGCGCTCCTACGAACCACGGAAAAGGAAACTGACGGTCTTGCAATCTCCTTTTGTAAAGTTATCTTCTTATACGTCCATGAGCTTCTGTGAAGCTTAAAGTCGGTCTTGGAAGCCGACGTCCACGTACAATGGAGGTTCTATGGAAGATTAGTAAAGATCAACGGGCTACAATTGACCTCTCGTCAATCCAGAAGACTGTTACAATGGAAGTTGTTGGTGATTAGTATGAAATCTGTACCCATAGATTAAGGAGATCCATAATGCAGGAAGTAGTTCCAAAGTACATGACTCGTCACAAGATGAGAATTGTTTTTGTATATAATCTTTATTCGTGTAAAAGCTGCTGGTTTTGTCATTTTCTATTCCCAGTTTTATTATTAATATTCTTGTTTCATTTGAAATGTTCACTGGACTAGCATAATTTACACTAAACATCTTCAAGTTTGTTTCTTTTATCGCCAAGCTACATAATAGGCTCTCTTTACACTACGAAATCGGACCCCAAATTGAAATAGTTTTATTCACTGAGACTTCAATGGGAATGTTTTAAGAGATTGAGTTTAGAAGCGAGCTCGTTTACCCGGGTCGTTTGTATAAGTGTGTCAAAAATTGTTTGGGACCGGATTTCCTCTTTTTGTAATCTAAATCAGTGCTTCTTAACTTTTTCCAATATCGTTCACCACTATAAGTTTTTCCCAACAGCTCACTCACCCCATTTCGAAAATAAAAAAACATAAAAGCACTAAATTAAAATGCAAAATTCTTTGTTATGAATTAAATGTACATCAAACTACAACTAGAATGAATAACAATAACTAATGACTCTTTTGCTTTTGAATTTGTTGTATAATTGATAATATTCATTCATCCTGCCATTCACCCCATCATTTTTATTCACCCTGATTCTGATCTCATTAACCCCTGGGTGAACCATTCACCCAGTTGACAAGCACTGGTCTGAACTATTCTTACAGTCATTACAGTTAGTTTCTCTACAGCGTGGAGAATACAGATAAAAGCGTATTGAGAATAATATTTGTCGTGAGAAAACTGAAACGTATAGTGAATTCAAGACGAATATTACATTTTACACCATGAGAAATCGGATCCCAAATTTTAGTGTTGTAAATCCATAAACTTACCGTTGACCATCTGGAAAATAAGCACCTTTAAGAAAAACGAAACTAACGGCACTAGTCTTTTACATTCTGAACGACATCTTATACAACGCATGGACCATATTAGAGGCCCCTAAGGTTTAGGCAAATAGCCATCCCTCATTTAGAACTACTGATCAGAGGAAGATGAACCAGTCATCAGTACCCGCCTCCTATGCGGCTTCTATTAACCGAGTAACAAGATTGACTGTCACTATTACACCATCCCCACAACTGAAAGTGCAGATCGTGATCGCTGTTGGAACCATGCGCCCTTCGACCCGCAGCCCAGCACGCTAACCATTAGACCACACAAAGCCAGAGACTGGTGGTAGTATTCAATGCACGCTTTTCTAATTTCAACCATTCCGAGCACGCATTTTCGGTTTCCCAACACAAAGTATAATTACTAGCATTTTTCTAGCTGAACTTCCCAACAATCTTCTGAAAATACATACATTGAGAGAACGAAAACAATAAGAAAAATAACTCCTGAACAGTTTTGTATTTTGCTATTTTCTTAACAATATTATGCTCTTAGCAACAACAACAAAAAGTTATATATATATATATATATTTCTTACTCCGCCGGTGGCTTAGCGTAAGCTTGAATGTATATAACACTACAATTCGATGTTTAATCCCTGTGGTGGACATGACGTAAGTATTCTATTTTGCAATTTTAATGAATAAACTGGATTAAAGCAAATTAACTAAATTTCCCTTAATCTAGTTAATCTTGTAACTACGACTACCGACGTCTCTACATTAGATTACACAGAATTAGTCTCCTCTACTTGGTTTGTTTTCCCTTAATCTAGTTAATCTTGTAACTACGTATGTCGGTCTCTACATTAGATTACACAGAATTAGTCTCCTCTACTTGGTTTGTTTTCCTTAATCTAGTTAATCTTGTAACTACGTATGTCGGTCTCTACATTAGATTACACAGAATTAGTCTCCTCTACTTGGTTTGTTTTTCAGATGGGATATATTTTTAGATTCACTGACACAGGACGTTAACATATCAGCTTCAATGCCAACTCCGACTTACATATGTTTTCTCATTTCCGCTTTGACAGCGTGTCTCACATCGTCCACGTTAAAAAAAAAAGAAAAAAAATTTCTCTCTCTCTCTGTTGATAGGTTAGTATTGTTCATACATTTGTTGTACGGTGTTTTTGGAAAAGCTGTAAGTGTCTCAATATTTTACCACTACTGTTTCGTAACCGTAACTCTCTCTGAAATAATTTCCGGTGTTGTATTTCCGATCCTGGAGTAGAGCCCTCACAAGATAAGTTATAGATACTCGTGAATCTTATTAGTCAGTCATCGAGACATCTAAATTTAGAGTTTTAAAGTATTGTTATTATCAACAACCCTCAGAAACGATATCCCACATTTCACATTAGTAATATGTGTACACTTTCCCATCCAGTCTCTCTTTCCCTACCCTGACGGTTGTTTGGGTGTTTACAGAGTCTGTGACACTCCCTTCCCCTCAAGTCAAGACTTCCAGACTCCAGATGCTTCTTTGTGTGTAAGCATTTCTTGAATGTTGTGTTGTTTGGTAACACAGTGCAGTTCTTAATATATTTAGTTAGTGATGGAAAACGGTTACGAGGTTTGTAGGTAGTCAAGTTTGTAGGTAAGAAGAAAACCATGACAAGTGTGCGGTATTTTTAAATGTTGAACTTAGTGTTTTAATAAGTAACATATTTAGTTTCAGTTTGACACCATTAAATATTGTTTAATCAAACCTAATTATGTGCAGTAACAAATATATTATTTTTATAGCGTTTTTTTTTTTTCTTTCACTACTTTCGGATATCTGTGCTAACAATCTTTCAGGAGATATTTATGCTAAAATAGGAAAACATTAAGCCTAATAATCGTAGTAAAAATAATGCTAGACTACAAATATTTTTTCTACATTTCTCATAATTTTGTCTATTATGGATTTCAAATCAGGCCGTAAAAAACATACTTCAGTCCAACTCTAACATGATTTTAATCAAGATTATCAGCTTTGTTACATGATTTTTATCACTGTTATTAGGTTTATTGTTATCCAATGCTTCGCGTGATGTGGGCGAAAACAAAACTTAGAAAACATTTGGTTCGAAAATTAAATAGCGACCAAAAATTAAGCCAGTTACTTCAATTGGGTCAACGTGGTGCAAAGTCGATGCTCAAGACTGCAAAAAAAAAAAGAGGGGTATTATCAAACCGTATAGTAACTTTAACACGGTTTGAGATTAATTCCGTTCTGTTAATTACAAAAAAAAAAAAAAAAAAAAAAAAAAAAAAAGCGTTAACATCGGGGATAACCTACTTAAGATTTTTTAAATATTAACTTCGTTACTATAAGTTTTACGTTTTCACTTTGTTTTCGTATTTAAAATTTTTAATATCTTTTTGGCTGTTTTATAATAAGCTTCACCTAACTAAACTTATTAGTTACGTAAAAATCTCCTACTACTAGTACTAGTGTTAGAACTAGACTTATTAGTTACGTAAAAATCTCCTACTACTAGTACTAGTGTTAGAACTAGACTTATTAGTTACGTAAAAATCTCCTACAACTAGTGTTAGAACTAGACTTGTTAGTTACGTAAAAATCTCCTACTACTAGTGTTAGAACTAAACTTATTAGTTACGTAAAAATCTCCTACTACTAGTACTAGTGTTAGAACTAGACTTATTAGTTACGTAAAAATCTCCTACAACTAGTGTTAGAACTAAACTTATTAGTTACGTAAAAATCTCCTACTACTAGTACTAGTGTTAGAACTAGACTTATTTGATTGGTAATTATCTGAGTATGTAGAGTAATACTCGTATATAAATTGAGTTTAAACAATTTACCACAAACTCAAATCTTAGTTTTGTATCTTATTAATTTCATTCTTTTGTTACTAAATATGTCTAGTTCTCAAGTTATGCAAGTTTCAGTAAAAATATTTCTATATTATAACTTTAGTTTCAAACTCAATCAAAACTAGTTATTCGTTTGAGACTGAGAGTAAAAGTAAATTTTGTAACGAAGTTATAAGGCTAAATGTGAAAAGAGTTCCATATGGCACCCCCACCCAAAAATTGTAGAATTGCCTGGATAAAAAAGATTCTGAAAAGGGTTTATTTTAAGGGGCGTATTAGAAAAATTGAGGCATGGCTTTGACAAGCATTTGTGTGAATACATGTGGAGAACATTATATTGTGATAAAAGTAGCCTTTTTGATGCCTTTATACAAGACATTTGTAAAGTTTATCCCCAATAAGATTGTACATCTAATTAATGAAGTAAGTGGTATAATAATGTATTAAAATTATCAGATCATACTATTAATATGATTTATTAATACATAAATATTACTTTGATGATTTTTTTTTTTAAATTGAGTGGGGGTGCCATATGGAACTCTTATCCTAAATATATTTTCAAAGACACGAATTCCCTAATAGAAATATTTAATCCTTTTTGAGAGTTTGGTAAAAAAAAACAACACAAAACAAAACTAGAAGGAAATCGGTTACTATAGTAAAAAGTTAAATTTCTCAAGTCACGTGGTTAAATTTTTTAAAAAGTTCTTTGTAATTTTCTTGCTCCATAAAATAACGTAAAAATTGGTAATCACCATAATATTAATACTGTATCACTATCCTTCTCTGATCTTTCTTTCTCTCTCAAAGTATACAAAACAATTATCTTATTTATTTTGTTAGGAACTTTCTGTGTACAACTTTGTAATTTGCATAAATTCAAATTAGCAGCTAACTAGCTCTTTAGCTGTACGAGAAAGTTTTGATATCACGTGTTTTGTATGACCGTAGTGCATTATGTTTTTAAAAGCTGTAACGCCTTAAGTCACGGTTTTTGTTTTGCTTTTTTTTTTATTGTTGCAGGGTAACACTCGTGTAACCTCCAGAAGATATCGATCTAGACGAGGGTAAGCTGATGAGCGCTGGTAACAGCGTCATCCACCGGGCTAAGGTGAATTTTTTTACGTGTGCGAAGACTTCATGACGGTAGCTAAAAGGGATAACGATAATGAGGTAAGTATGATATCCACTTCTCTTTAATAGTAGTTTTTAAATGATGTTATAGAATTTGAGCTGTTGAGGCGATCCCTCTTAACTCAAGTATTAACTCTCAAGCATCTGTTATCGTTTTCCACCTAGTGTATGACCAGACTTACTTGGCTGTGACACCAAGTGAGTCAACAAACTAGAAATACGTAAGTATGTAAAAATTCGGCAGCTTACAGTCATCGCGGAGAGACTTTTATGTGTATCATACAATATATTTGTGAGTCTGATAAACTCAAATCGTGCAAGATTATCCAATTAAGGAACTTACTCTCAATGTGAATAAATATTATATACAAGTCTATTAAAATCAAAACATTGAAATTTGCCTTACAATAAGAAGTTTGCAGATATCTTGACGAAACATTATATATATCAGCGGCTTCATTAAACTTAAAATATACAATCGAATTTTAATTAACTTTTTTTACCCTAACGAATAAAGTTTGAGCCCAAAATATTAAGTGTACTTCTTTTGATATAAAATATCTGTAATAACAAAAACCATTGTTGTGAGAGCATTGTTGATGCTACTCTTGCTGTATCTTCCCCCCTGATGGCTTAGCTGTTAGTCTAGGAGTTTATAACACTAAAAATCAGATTTCGATACCCGCGGTGGGTAGAGCACAGATAGTCCATTGATCTGGGTTGGACTTGATCCATTGGTGCATGTTTTAATAATGATGTATTTTTTTCAACACTCGTTTTAAGCCACGTTTATTTTAATTGAATTAATTGCAATGAATTACTGGTATAGGATTAACACCATCCAAAGACTTGCCAAATTTCAATATGGCTGAATCTAGGAAGGATATGGAAAAATAATTTGGAATTAAGCAATAAAAACAATAATAACAGTTAATTTACTTTTAGTGAAAATAAACTTCACGGTCTACTTGCTTGAAAGGTTCAAAGAGTATTAGAATGCTTTGCTTCAAATGGGAATTAAAGAATTAAAAAAAAATATTCAGCGTCATTCGAAACATTTCCACATGGCATCGATTTAAAACTTCCCTAAATATAAATGAAGGACATTAATGGTATTAAAATGAACAATAGAACTTTTCGAAGGTGGTTGGAAGAAAATGGGAGAGTCTGGCATGGCCTGGTGGTTAGAGTATTCAATTTGCAATCTAAGGGTCACGAGTTCGATTCCCGTCCCAGAACATACTTGCCCTTTCAGCCGTGGGGACGTTATAATGTGACGGTCAAAAGTAGCCTAATATTTGGAGGTGAGTGGTATTGACTTGCTGTCTTCCCTCTAGGGACGGCTAGCGCAGATAAACCTCGAGTATCTTTGCGCGAAATTCTAAACAAACAAAGCAGTAAAATGATTGTTGTATAAACGTTGCAGCAAAATGAAAAAAAAAAGTTTGATATTTCACTTGTGAACGTTATCACTCGTTTAAATTTACTAAATTTCACAAAACGTGAAGACACGATATAGGTAATGTGCTACAGATTGACGAAATACTTTGAAGATTGAGTTTTTCCTAATTCATGGAGAGTGTCTGTGCGGAGACACGATAATGTGAACTTTAAACAAAGCTACGTCCAAAATGGTGTGTAGTGTTTGTTTGTGTTGTAGGGATGGGAGATATGATTAGATATCACCAAGAAGGAGGAATACCACATCCTGGTTCGCATTTCAATACCCGCTAATTTTGACATTTAGCAAGAGGATAATGATCCAAAAACATAATAATAAGAGATATTTAGAGGAGAAAGAAGGCGTTAGTGATGATAAGTTATGAAATGAGCAGACCAAAGTCCTGATGCTAAATCAATTTAAAAAATGTATAGTATCGATTGCAAAGCAGCTTTGAGAGATTGTACTACAAATACAAGGAAATACCTCTTGATAAAACTGCCACGCCCGGTTGATGTCGTCATATTTTGTTAAGACTAGTGAAGGATCAACTGAATATCGATTATACCAAATAGTGATATAACATTCAAACTTAAAATTCCTTACTGACTACTGTTGTATGTCAACGAGTCTGTTATCAAACTTCAAAAGCTATCTATGTTTATCCCACCTAAAAATTTCTGTATACTCGTGACACAGGAACCAACGTCAGACATTTTGTTTGTTTATATTTCCATTATTTGATAGTGGTGGCCTCTTCAGGCGCTCACTAAATATTTGAAATGAAGCTATGTGATAAATCCAAATACAAAGTAATTACATATTTCAAAACGAAAAATACCTGGGCTATCGAAACAAAAAACCTTATTCTGGTACATTAAATAATTAAAAAATCAGTTTACTGCATTAGAAGAAGATTATAAAAACTATAGTATTTGAAAGAGAAATATCAGCCAGTACGTAAAACAGTAGGCATTCTATAATATATTACACTGCATTGTTACAAAGCGATCAGATCTTCATTGAACTGTACTGCTGTGTATAATGAAATATCAGCCAGTACGTAAAACAGTAGGCATTCTATAATATATAACACTGTTATTTCATTATACACAGCAGTACAGTTCAATGAAGAGAAGATCTGATCGCTTTGTAACAATCTAATATGTGCAAGAAGAGTTGTAGCACATACGTTTTTAAGTAAATAAAACAAAGTATGAAAAACATTCATGAGAAAGAATTAACAACCAAATAAATGTATTTTATCTACAAAACAAATCTAAAATATCGCTAAGAAAAAAACGAGAATATAGTTGCCTATTTTCATAAAAGTAATCCCTTATTTCTATTCATTTTAAATTTTAGTTTCAAATGCTTTTTTGTACATAAGGAAGATTTCCCATAATTCAATATTTCAACTGTTGTTTTATTCATCAATACAATGTACATTACATTCACCAGTATTTCTTGTTGTAGCAAGAGGTTTTATCTATTAAAATTTATTCTCTTATTTATTCTTCAAATTTTCTAACTATATAAATTTACCAATGTTATCAGTGAAACGTTTACTGTGGTAACGTTAGTGACAATTTGCATGTTCTTAAAAATATTGGCTCTGGCCAGATGATTTTCACTCACATTTTAAATATTGTTTCGTTTACACTTTAGAAAACCTGAAGATTGGTTATGAAATTGAGTATAATCTTTCGAAGAATTTCAATATCAAATCGAATTTAAAACATAAATAAATGAAGAAATATAGGATATGCGTGAAGTTCGAATCAAAAATAGACAAGGAACAATACTCTCCTATCTACACATTTATCTTGTACTGATTAGAAACAATGTAAGTACGTTGTAAACTTAATGAAAAGATTAATAAGGCCCTTTGCAGAGCTATTGAAGAACTTGCTTGAATTTAAATTGCTTAAGATGTAGAAACTAATTTATAATTACTTAAACTGCTGAAATGATTACTCGTTGTCGGTCATTATATGGAGGAACTGAAAAGGCGTGGAACATGTTAAACTACTTAAAATACTACCGCTGGACTGTCGATAAATGACAATGAAATAATCCATTCAATCTGCTGTAACTTTACGGACTTACAACGCTAAAATCTGGGGTTCAATTTTTTGTAGTGTATAGAGTACAGATAGTTAGTTCACTGTGTAGTTTTGCAGTTAGAAAAAAACCAACAACAACCTTGCCCTCCGGTGGCTCAGTGGTAAGCGTGAAACTTATAAGTATAAAATACGAGGTTCGATCCCTGTGGTAGACACAGCACAGAGTCCTTAGTGTATAAACGTGGTTAATAATTAAAAAAGACGTTTTTTTTTTTTGTCTTCCAGTGAGTCAATAGAAAGTTCCCGGAATTACGTTCGATTCCCCGCGATGGACAGAACGCTGATAGCCCATTGTGTAGCTTTATGCTAAAAAACGAACAACAATAACTTGTCGTATAACGCTGAAGTCTGACCCCCGCGATGGACAGCCCATTGTGTAGGAACCTGAAAACATAAAATCTCTCAACTTTGTGAATATTACACAAACATACGTGTTTAATGATAAATATAAATATTGGTAAATAGCAAATAACTAATAATAATAATAATTTCTGATCAAGTACGAAATCAGGAAGTATAATTATTGGGCTAATGTGTTTTACAATTTATATCCTGATTAAAATACCGATTAAAATATATTTTCTCATTTCAAAATCAATCTCAAGTATCATAATTTAAATGTCAAAAAGCTGATGAAGCTCTAGAAACCAACAGGCCTACCATTTTTGATAAAAATCACGTAAACGGCAGATGTATTTTTTGTTTGTTTGTTGTTCCTTTTAAGAAGAAGGGGGGAATGTCCTTTGGTTAGTAAGATTCTTTCGTGGCGACAGGTAGGTTAGAAGGAGCATCACAAACCTAATTTGTTCTTGTTGTAGCTACACTCTCACATTTCTTAACTACACGCCTTTGCCAAGTAAACAACATTAGCTGAAGTTGCTTAAAAGGTTGCTGACTTTTGTATATATCTCGTGTTTTTTTGTGTGTTGTTTTTTTTCAATAAGAATCATTATTCTATAGACGTTTAAAAATGTTCAGTCATTTATTTCTATACTTCTTTATTTTCTTCTCAGTAATATCTGTTGGAATGTGATCATATCGAAAGATATTGGGCTCATTAAAAGTTCATTGAACAAACATTGCTTCCGGCGATATATCGAGTGATAAAAAAATAACGTTCTTTTGAAAAGCTTTCTAACTATTCCAGTATGCATCTAAACTCCTGAGTTGTCGTGGTGTCCCTTGGGAATTCTCGCCATCACGCAAACTCCTGATTTAATGGCATAATTTGGCCATAAATGTCGAGACTTTAGGCTCCTAATTATTTTTTTATCTCCGGTCTTCAGATAAATTGATATTTTTATTTCTTTGGTTCTAGTTAAGGTATTGTACCAGTCGTTTTGCTTTATGAAGTGCTGTTACAGATCGCCACAACAGCTGAAAGTATGTTTCCATCAGTAAATACTTAGTATTTTATTTTTAGTTTTAAAAATGTTTATTTTCCTGATCCCATCATAAATATTGAAATAGCA